TATGGTAATTGGAAACGTATTCTATTTCCGTGAGATTGAGAATCTATGGTTCCCAATGGATTGTATTGCTGTTGGTTCTTAGTAGAGGTGGGAGAGTTTTCATTTCTTCTTTTCCAGACACAATGTCTAGGTTTAAATATGAGAAGTTCTGCTCTGTTTTTATTTTATTGGTCTGCTTGCCTTTTCTGTATTCTTGCTTCTCTTTTCTTTGTTTCCCTTTTGGATATCAAACTCTGTGCTTCAAACTTTGCACCTGTTCCCAATCAAAATGACGAAATAGGCCGCATAACTATCTAATGCAGTTTTAGGGTCCATTTTGAAGCATGCTATCAGCTTTACTTTTAATATTCTTGTTTTAAATTTTGCCCTTTCACCTTTTTCACCTCTTACCTAAGAAATGCTTGTTCTTTGTATAGTATCACCACTTTCTGTTGAGGACATTGTCCGTGAATTGGCAGGAAGTCCGATAGCAGCGCACGGGCATGGGCTGCCATCCACCGCAGCGTGGGCTGGCGTTGCTGGTTCGATTATGGGCCCATTTGCATGTGTGGCCGCTGCCGCTCCATTCACGTAAGATGTGGAGCATTCGATCAGTTTCCATAATCTGGACAAGGAAGTATTTAATGAGTATATTTCTCGTATTTTTAGAGTGTTATTAAAATGTTGCAGCCAATGGCATTTTCTAAAATTGCCATTAACTGCATTTTTATTTTTGAATCTATCCCAATATTCGCCTTTTATATTCTTTTATACCTTTTATTGCAAATTTGTGTTTTCCATGTGTGCTGCAACTAATAATTTGAAATTATCCACTTGGGAACAATGAGTGTGTCATTGAATTGACCGGTAACGCATTAGAATGCAAGATGGGTTCAGTACCTAATATGACGTTTTATAAGTCAGCCAATTTTTTTTCTTTTTTACTAGGGAGTTTTCATGTTTAAAAGTTTGGATTTTTGCCCACTTGGTTAGGTTGAAGATCGTTTAGTTTGAGATGGACACTATTTGGGTAATTTTATTTTTATTAACAGGTACCATAAATTCATCTCTACTATTTTTAAACATTTGATAAATGGGTCGCTTAGCTGGAAGCAGTTTTTTAAGCGTTAAAAAAATTTTGATATCCATCATCCCCTTGAGTAGTTACTTTCAGTAAAAAACGCTCTTAAACAATAATGACAAATATGGATACTTGCGCTTGGCGATCACAATGTTAACATGTCATTTATAGTTGAACATAGTATAAGAAAAGTATAGTACTGATTTATCGTGATCTCAAATAGTTTCTCAACAGCTTTTTTCCTTTTTTCCAATTTCAACAGGCGTTCAGTGATTTTGTTCGATTCCTGCCCGGGACTAAGTTTTGTTCAGTCACTGTTGCCTTTGTTTTCTTTACCACTCGTTTTCTCGTAGTTGAATTTGAGCTCCCCGCATTTTTTAAACATCGAGGCTATGCATATGTCGAGGATGTTAATCAGAACATTTGCTTTAGCGCCCTAACTTT